ATGCCGATAGACTAAAATATTAATTCAAAAAAAATTAACCTTTGACATGGAATTAAGAAAATCTCGACCCTTCTCAACATTGATACCTAAACGTTCATCAACGTTATACAAAAGCATGAGTCTTGACTTGGGGCCTTGAATTGAGCCTTTGGGATTGTGAAAAGGTTATAATAATATTGGTGCATGCAAGAGGTAGAGGCAACATTTACAGAAAAAAAATAAAATAAAATAAAGGCTTATGCCGTCTGCAACAATGAATTCAACGACTCGAAGAGGCATGGGGCTGCTCATTTTGCATAGTCAACTACTCCCTCCTATCCCTATCCTATTCCTATAATTAAGTGCAATTAAAGATAATATACTTTAATTTATAAAATTGTCTAATTAAATTCAATATTATACTCTAAAATTTATTCTCTTATTGCTTTACATATAAAAATTAAACGTGAAACCGACCGAAATTCAACATATAATTATATGTAAGGACGGTAAGTTCTTGTGGTGTGTTTGGTTCGCATATAGAAATCGGAATTAGAATGGAAATTAAATATTTAGTAATGGTACTGAATTTTTGTGAAAATATTTTGCATGTTCGGTAGTAGGGTGGAATTGGAATTGGAATGATTACCAATATTGCCGTTTGGTTATGTATGATCCTAATGAAAATAAATGTTTTAAAAATATAATAACAAAAAATCAAAACAATTTATTCTAATATAAAGACATCAAATGCATCAATATAAAAAAACAAAAAAAACAAAAAAAAAAACAAAAAAAAAAACACTAGTTCAAATTTAAAAATCAAATTATCAATTAGGAGGGAGACTAAGGGAATGAAACCGTTATTTTATCAAATAATGAGTTTTCTAATTAAGAGTTAATCAAACCACATAGTAGTGTTCTAGAAACTTGTCAACCAAACAATAACAATGACTTTGATTCCCATTCCTGATAACTAAACTCATGAACTAAACACACCATTGGATTAACATTAACATACAATGTGATTTTTTTTATTGTTATCTTTTAAAATTATACTATTGCAGCTGATTTATCTTAAAGTATCTTAGTTGTAATATCACAATTGACCTAACAAATACCAACCTAGTGGGTGTTTATTTATAAGATTTTCATTTGTATGTTGACCTAATTTTCCTTTTTGCTTCTTAGAATCATAGACCATTCCAAATTAGGCTAGTGTTTTTCATAATCCTTTTTTTTTTTTTTTTTTTTTTGGGTGTCAGTGTGTCACTAAGCATGGGTTGGTGCTTGGCAGGCCCACATGGAAGGAACCAAATGGCGTTTTTCCAAAGCAGTAGAACTGAAATTTTGGCAATCTTGGGCCCATGGGCCATCCATTAATTAGTATAACCCACCGCTCAATTTTTACGATAGCATCCAATATCGCTATAAGATTAATTTAAATAAAATTTTCATATGAGATGTACATATGAAATTTTAACCTTATAATTATAACAGCAATATGTGCTAATGAGTTTGGGTTTTTACTAGGGATGGACGTTTCAATATTCGATTTGGTTTAATCAGTTTCGATTTGTTTGGTTCTTAAAAAAAAAAAAATCATTCGTTTTTAACATTATAATTTGTTTTGATTTCGTTCATAATTAGTTTTGTTTGGTTTAAGAATCTCAATTCTTAACATTTCATAGTATTCTAGTGCAAATAATTAATTAATTATTTATTTTTACTAATAATTATGATTAAAATTCATTATGCATCAAGTAATTCAACAAGCTCATTTAATGAGATTAAAATATCTTTAAGAAAAAAAAAACACTTTGGAGAATCCAGATGGACCAAGTTAGAGTACTTTTATAAGTTATTTAACGATGGTGATTAGTGTTGGCCTTGTGATCAAGGCATTAAATCACTTTTCAGTGCATCTTGTATCTTGGTAATTAATATAATAAATTCTTTCTGGAAATCGGTGTAGAATAGAGTTGAAAGATTACACTACATTTAAACCACTATAAAAATTATCTCTCTTTATTTTACGTTACTGCTCTCACGTACTACATAAATACATTTATATTGTATTGCATGCATTGATCATCTCAATAACACTCTACTTTTTAACATAGCACTTTATGTACATTTATTATGTTGTGCACTTTAAAGTAAATTTATATAAGTCTATTTTACTTGGAGTTATATGGTAAAGTGTTATAAAATTTATAAAGCTTGAAAAATCTATTCACCCCTTCATTTAGACTTTTCATTATTCAATCAAGACCAACATTATTATTACAAGAAGATGAAGAAAAATCTAAACGACATTCTGTTTGATTCAGTTCAAATTTTTTCCGACTCATTCAATATACAAGAATCGATTATTGTTCAATTATTCGGTATATTAATGAATTATTTCGGCCTGATTCGGATGGGAAACCCGAACCGATTTGCCCCTAGTCTTGACTAAGGTCCACGCACGTCAAATCGCCGTCCAAGATAACACAGTGCAGGTGGATGCACCACATAATTTCTCTCAACGTCAACGAGGCTTTATCGTACACGGAATATTCTGGACTGCACCGAATGCTAACCAGGTGAGATCGCCACTAAAATGCGCCGGGCGCCAACGACTGCGATGAAACCGCATCCTGTCGTTCGGCGCGGTTCGGTAAACCGTCACTGCGTGTTTGGATGAATATGCTTCCTGTGTGTCCGAGATTAGGTGAAATTAGTGTTTAATTAATTATAATTAGGCAATCCAGTTAATCCGTTATGTTGTACTTGTAATTTGCAAGCCGCCATCAAAATTTACACTGTTAAAGTTTAGTTAATTATTTTCATTTTTTGTCATAAATTTATAAATGACATCTTTCAAATACTTTCTCTAATTTTAGTATTATAGCGACATGATTATTTTTATTATTTGTCAATAAATTATTAAAATGTTATTAAATACATTGACATTTTGCTTTTGTATGCAAAATAGGCTGACCCGCTATTTTTTTTAAAAGAAAAAAATCATTGTCAAATACCTAAATGTCTGTGTATTTAATTATATTTCAACGAGTTTATTGATAGAAGATAAAAAATGATTATGCCACAAAAATACTAAAACTAAAGAAAAATATTATGAAAAAAAAGACTAAAAGTGAATTATCACCAATAAATTTAGAATAAAAAATGGAATTAACTCTTTATAAATTTATGACCCGTTTGGTTCACGGAATAGGCCGGGAATGACATAGCATTTCCAGTAATAGGTCTATTCCGTTGTTTGGTTACCATTTCTATTACCAGGAATAATATTCCTGGTAATAGCCTATTACCAAGGTAATAGCTATTACTAGCCCCCCCTGATATTAGCCTATTACTGATGCTTAGGAATAGATTTTAGAATCTATTTCTTTTTTTACCCTTTTCTTTAACCTAATTTTATTATTCTATATATAAATTTATCCTATTTCACCACCGTCGTCGTCACCGCCACCACCAACACCACCATCGCCGCCCCCACCACTGCCACCGCCACCACCACCACTACCACCGCCACCACCACCATCACCACCACCGCCACCACCATCGCCGCTGCTGCCACCGCCACAACCGTTGCCGCCCCCACCACCACTGCCACAACCGTCATCGTCAACCGTCACCGTCACCACCACCACCGTCGCCCCCACCACTGCCACCGCCACCACCACCACTACCACCCCAGCACCACCACTACCACCACCGCCACCACCACCATCGCCACCACCGCCACCACCACCACCGCCACCAAAACCACCACCCAGCAGCAGCACCGCCACCACCACCGCCACAACCGTCGCCGCCCCCACCACTGCCACCGCCACCACCACCATTACCACCCCAGCACCACCACCACCACCACCACCGCCACCATCACCATCACCACCGCCACCACCACATATTTTTATAAGGGTATTTATGTCTTTTAAAACATATTTCATTTCTATTCCTTAAATCAACCAAACACTGTAATATAATTCATAAAGTATATTCCTTCCGCGAACCAAACAATACAATTCCTATTCTATTCCTTGCCTATTCAATTCCTTATGAAATAGCATTTCTATTACCTCAAAATTAATTCCGTGAACCAAACGTGCTTTTATAGTCACAATCAAATTATGTCAAACTCAAATGCTGTGAGTTAAAATTTTAGAATATGAAGGTGTTAATGTCCAATTCAAATACTATAATTTGATATTTTAAAATAAGAAGGTGTTACAAATATTATAATTCCATAATTACTATATTCATTTTGAGTGAATTTCGAAGTTTATATTGTCGCCCTAGTTGATAAGAGATCACAAATAAGTAAATTGTTATAAATTGTTTATAGTTGACTGACTTGAATTTAGAACATTATAATTACGAAGTTAACTCCTTTATTAATATGTTACTTGATTCAACTCTATTTAAATCAATTTAAATATAAGTAATGCTACATTTTCTTCTCAATTTTACTTTTACGTGATAATTATAGATTGATCAATTTCATGTTTGATTAATAATTAAATTTATTTTTAACATTAATTATAAAAAAATTATTATTATCACAAGAGAAATATAGCATTATACTTCGAATCTTCGTCAAGTTAAATTTGAATAACTCTTGTGGTTTGTCATTTTTCTATTGCTATTTCCTTTTTGTCGTTTGTGAAACAACATGAAACAAACCTAATTAGTTACGTGGCATTTAATATTAAATTAATTAATAAAGGGGGCGTATATTTAATGAATATTACGTCAATCAAAAACAAATATTATATAAAAGTAAAATGGAAGGATAATGACGAGGTAGCTTATTAGAATGTGTAGGGATTTAATAAGTAAAAAAGTAAACCCAACCAAAGCCTAGTGGAAATTAATTAAACGGCTACTAACAATATAATTAAATTAATTAATTAGTTAATTAATTATAAGCCAAATGAAAAAAAAATAAAAAAAATTAAAGTAAAACCATGCGAAGCTGGTGAAGTGGATTTAATAAGAGTTTGGAATCCGGGGGGTCGCAGGGACAAACGGAGAGCGTGGACTTCCTTCCGGAGTGCCTAGAGAGAGAAAGCTTCGACTTTAAGAGAGAGAGAGATAGATAGAAAGTATAATCATCCTGGGGGGAAGACTCTGTGCTGGGGTGAGCTTCAGTCACTCTTTTCTTGATAGTTCAGATTATACTGCCATTTTCTATCCCTGTATGCTAAATGTTTGTTTAAATTTCTTTTGGAGTTATAAATTTGCCGATTTTATGCGTGGGTTTTTCAATATTGTTGTTATTTCTGAATGAAATTTGTTTTCCTTTTTTTTTTTGAAATATTTCTTTAGAAATTTTTATTGAACTACTTAGCTGTCGCTCAGTGTATGAGGGCTAACTTAAAAGGATTAGCTTTTTCTTTGTTCTATTATAAACTTGGTTAAATTTCGTTGGTTTCTTGCTAAGATTGTTAAATATTTTGGCTGTTGAGATCTTTCAGCACTGAAGCTTTTGGCGTAATATGTTTGTAAAAATTTAGGAGCTAGGAACAGTTTAGACAATGTTCAATCTTGTGAGAGGAATGAAGGAATTGGTAAGTTTCCCTTTGTGCTCAAAGTTTGGATAAATGTTTTGAGAATTGGTAATCCTTTTCTAGTCTAGATTTTTGCCTTTCGCAGCTAATAGATAATTACTCCGTATATTATTGATTTTGGAATGTGTCATTCTATTTTGGTGTCGGTTTATTTGGTCCCTACATGGGATGGGAACACTAAGTTATTTTTGGAAATTTGATCTCTTTAAGCTAACGATTGTCTCTTGGTGATAACATAAATCTAGAAAACCTGAAACAAAACCTTCTGATTTCTTATTTTCACCCACCCATTCTGTAAATTGCCGGGCAGTATTTGTTGTGACAACCGACTATAAATAATTAGTTTCAAAGAAGCACCATACATGTTTCAAGATAAAGGTTTTAGAAGCGGGAAAGTTGTTTCTTACTAAAGAATGCTTCATAGACTGCTTTAAAGGCTCCATTTGAAGATTTCTTTTTTGTTGGGAATCTTCTTTTCTTGCTCTGTGCTTTTCATCACTTTGTTTTCTTTGTTACTAAGGTATGTATAATTGATTTTGCTGAAACCCATATTCTTCTTAGGTATATTTATTGTCCATGGACTAACCATCTCAAAAGACACGGATACATAAACCAAGTCCAGGGAGCATCACACATTCAAAGTAAATGTCATTTAGAAGTATAGCTCGTGACATTAAGGATAGTATTGGGAGCTTATCAAGGCGAAGTTTTGAGTTTAGGTTGACTGGCCATCAGAGGGGGAAGTCTCATGGGGCTGTCCATGAGTTGCATGACCAGCCTGCAATCATCCAGAACAGCTGTTGGGCTAGCCTCCCACCTGAGTTACTTCGAGATGTAATTAAAAGGTTGGAGTCTAGTGAGAGTGCGTGGCCTGCTCGCAAGCATGTTGTTGCCTGTGCTGGTGTTTGCCGATCATGGAGAGAGATGTGCAAGGAAATTGTTCATAATCCAGAGTTCTCAGGAAAGTTGACTTTCCCAGTCTCTCTGAAGCAGGTAATGTTTTTTTCATACGGTTATTTTCAGTTAATTATGTTTATCAAACTAAATCAACTGCCCTATTTATTCATTTGGAAAAGAATGCTAACACTTTCATGTTTGTTTGCCTTTACAGCCTGGGCAACGAGATGGAGCCATTCAATGTTTCATAAAGAGAGACAAATCTAATTTAACTTACCGCCTTTTCCTCTGTCTTAGCCCAGGTAAATTTGCATAATGAAAAGTTCTCTGTTTGCTGTGTTTGGTGTAAGGCTGTGTTTTGATATATTGATTTCAGTAGCAATTAGGCTTTGCATGGTATCATGATATTAGGGTTCACTCTGCATATTGCTTACATCAATTTCTGCATCTTTACTGGTTTTCTTGGATACATCTAAGGGGGTTGGGGATTAAACTTGTAACCTCTTATCTAGAGTCGCTTATGCTACTTGACCATAAGGTCTTTGGCACTGCTTCTTTACTGATAGATGTTAAGGTCTTAAGGATATACCTATATCATTGGATCTTGTTTTCTAGTCAACATTAGTCTTTTACCCCTTCTCCCTGGGGATGGTCCCCTCATGGCAAATTATGCTGTGGACACGTGCCCACCTTGCAAGGTGGGCACGGTTCCATATTCATAATTTCTATACTGTAGATTCATAATTATAGAGCTATATGTTCATAATTTTATAAATATATGTTCATAATTATAGAGCTATATGTTCATAATTTTCGATGTTCATATTCCCAATTGTTGAACTCTGTTTTCAAAAATCACAGAACTATATGTTCATAATTTGATAACTATACAGTTTAGAAATTATGAATCTACAGTATAGAAATTATGAATCTACAGTACAAATATTATGAATCTGCAGTATAGAAATTATGAATCTACTGTATTTAAATTATGAATCTACAATTTAGAAGTTATGAATCTAAAGTATAGATTTTATGAATCTACAGTATAGAAATTATGAATATGGAACCGTGCCCACCTTGCAAGGTGGGCACGATTCCACAGCATAACGTTCCGTCCTCTCATGCTTCAATTAGCACCGTCATATGTATTTGATAAATTTTGACTGATGGTGTTGCTTCATGTTTGTGATGGTGTCCTTCTTGCTTCAAATCTGAATTGATTCTTTTCTGAGTTGAGCTTATCTAGGTTTTATAATAACAGTTAAAAAAATATTTGCAGGCAGTAACCAACTATTAAGTTGGTGCATTTTTCTTTGATCCACCTTCTATCTATATCTACCCTCTACTCATGTACAGTAAATGATTACTATTTCCGTGTTCTAAATCATATTCAAGTAGTTTTTTTTTTTTTTTTTTTTTTTTTTTTTTCAAACTTGAAATAATCTTTCTTATGTAGATGACACCATTCCAACTCTTCAATACTCAGAGATGTTAATTTGTTGCTTCCTCCATTGCATTACTGCGAGTTTCCTAGTGACTGATGTTAATTTGTTACTTCCTCATTGCATTACTGCGAGTTTCCTAGTGACTGATGTTAATTTGTTACTTTCACAGCCTTGCTGGTAGAAAATGGAAAGTTTCTTCTCTCTGCTAAGCGGAACCGGAGGACTACTCATACAGAATATATTATCTCGATGAACGCAGATAACATATCGCGGTCCAGTAACACTTATATTGGAAAACTAAGGTCAGTTTGCCTTGGAACTTATATCCCACCTCGATATATACTTTGATTTTGATATTTTATTTTGACATGATAGAAAATTATTTGGTTTTGAATTTAATAGATGTTTGTTGTGGAGTATCAATTTACTTGAAGGTATTAATCATAGTTTATTTTCACATAGGACGTTATAACCTTTTTTAATGTGTTTCAGGTCAAATTTTCTTGGAACTAAGTTCATAATTTATGACACCCAGCCACCATACAACAGCACTCATATATCCGATCCTGGTTGTACAAGCCGCAGATTCTACCCAAAGAAAGTTTCCCCCAAAGTCCCTACTGGAAGCTACAACATTGCACAAGTCACATATGAACTGAATGTTCTTGGCACCAGAGGGCCACGGAAAATGCATTGTGCCATGTATTCAATCCCGGCCTCGTCTCTTGAGCCTGGCGGCATTGTCCCTGGCCAGCCTGAGCTGCTTCCTCGCTCACTTGAGGATTCGTTCAGGAGCATCTCCTTTTCAAAATCAATTGATAATTCAACCGAGTTCAGTAGTGCAAGGTATTCGGACATAATCGGTCCACGGGATGGTGATGATGATGATGATGATGCGAAGGAAAGACCTTTAGTACTTCGGAATAAACCTCCGAGATGGCACGAGCAGTTGCAGTGTTGGTGTCTTAATTTCAGGGGAAGGGTAACGGTTGCCTCTGTCAAGAATTTCCAGCTGATCGCTGCAACGCAGCCGCCGCCTGCTGGTGCCCCAACGCCAGCTCAGCCGCCACCCCAGTCTGATCCCGACAAGATCATCCTGCAGTTCGGGAAGGTTGGCAAAGATATGTTCACCATGGATTACCGATATCCTTTGTCCGCCTTTCAGGCATTCGCCATCTGTTTAAGCAGCTTTGACACAAAGCTCGCATGTGAATAATACTACATAAACCGAAGGTTGTGCGCCTATACTGACCAACATTTGCAAGCGACGAGTCTGTCTGTGCAACTCCACTGTACTGTATGTCCAAGAAAAAGGTGCAGGAATGTTAATTCCTTCCATTGTACTTTTCCTTATTCTCTTTTGTTTCTTCCATGTTAATTCCTTCCTGTCTTAGGTAAATTTGTTTTGGTAGTTTAATTTGCTGTAAACCTTATTGCATGAACCCATAACAGGAATTATTCTCATTTTCACTAATGATTTTCAAAGTATATCCATTACTCATTCTATTAATTTTCTAGATGTTGAAGAATACAAATACACGTGCTTTGAGATTCAAGTTCTAGTTGTGCCAAAAACAATAAGTCAACAAGTCATCTTAACTCTTTCTTTTGGACAGGGTGGGGGCCAGTTTCTTCTTGCATAAATGCAGTACAAGATTTTGGTGGTGTGGGCAGGGGTAGGTTCTAGGTTTAATTGATGGGAACTACTGACGTACAGACCACTTCAACAAAAACTAGCAACATTGAACTACTCCTCAAATTTTCTTTTATTAGCAGATGCAAAAGATCTCCACCAAGCTTTATTCAGTGCTTAGAAAATGGAAAAACATAAAAAAGATGTAGTGGTTCAGAGTTATCCAAGAAACCGGAAACATATTTCATTGTCTCAAATACTGCCTACTGAACTAATGTGCTAAGCTTGTGCGAGTTATATTCATATTTCATTGAGAAGCTAATCAATGTACAGATTGACTAGTGGGTTATCGCGAATACACCTTTGGGCATTGGTCTTTATAGGTCGGATCAACCCTCAAGACCCTAAGACCTCTGCTTTTTTTTTTGTTTTTTTCCTGATATTGTTGGCTCAGCTCCATGCATGTAACTTAAATTTATGTAATTTTGTTTCTTTTATATATGTTTGTATGACAAAATATTGGAATTCTTTTGAGTAAATAAGGAGAAAAAAGGACCGCCAAAAAAAAAAAAAGAAGAAGGGAGTTGGTGGTTAGTAAATATAGCAGTTGGTGCTTTTAACCATAATGTACAGAGGGCAGGTTAACCATTATTATCTTGAGTGAAGGGTAGATGATTAGTACAGCAGAGCTACTGGACTTGATGGGGAGTCTAGGAGTTCAGACTCTATAAACTTGATCCACTTTTGATTTTTACCTCCATCTTAGTTTAGAATTTAGATAGGCTTAATTAGGAGTATTTTGTAAATATATAAATATAATAACATAAAATTTGTAATCCATCTATGAAAAATTAGAAATTTAATTGCATTTTGAAATTATTTTAATTAAATATTAAAATACTCTAATTCTACTTGACTAATTGATCAGCCGCTCAAGTTTAGACTTCACTCATTATTTACTGATTGTGATTTGTTAACTTGAAATAATCGGATCACGCGTAACTTGGCTGGTTTAGGCTTTTCTTGTTTCCGTTAAATACAATCAAATTAAGTTTCAGTGTTGAGCCGCCCACATAACTTTATTATTTGTGTTGGTTTTAATTAAATTAGTTGTTAATTCAGATTACTAAAAATGTATACAAGATAGATATTGCTATGAAGTGAAAACGTAACTGAGTTATGTTCAAGATAATTAACACCCTGCCGATCGATCATTGAAAAAGTGTACTGGCATGAAAATCAGTAAAATCAAATAAAAACATAAGTGCAGAAAATCACATTGAACAATTAAGCAATTTTGTGGTCTTCTGATCTTTTTTCTAAGAAATACAAGCTAGATTACTACATCGTTCAAAGAAGAAGAAAAGAAAAGAGAGAGGGCGGGGTGATAGCTAGAGACCAGTGCAATTCGCACAAGAAAGAGATTAAAATTACATTAGCAGAGAATTGAAACACACACATACACTTACTTGCCAAAATGGCACTTAGCTAGCTAGCGTCTAAGTATTTTACTGGGAAAGGGAGGTTACTATTTTGGGTACGAATAATGAAGGCTCGATGGCCATGACAGATATCCGAGAGGTGAGCACTTGCTAAGTCAATCTTCACTTCAGCCCCCGCCGCCGCCGCCGTTTCATTGCCGTCGAGGCGGCGCACGACCTTTGTAACATTTCCTGTTCTTGCATCATATCATATCAGTGAAGGCGTACCTTAGCTTGAAGCACCCTTAACTTGCTAGCGAAACACGACAGACAGACAGCAATCATCGGTTCTTCGTTTTTCTCAGTACCAAGTTCCTATGGCCGCAGTGGCATGAGAAAAGCCATACATAATTATATATATATAGAGAGAGAGAGGGGAGGGGGGAGCTGAGGCAGGCATGATTTCTGTGTGTTTTCGCCAAACAAAAAGAAAAATGTTTGGGAGAAACTTAATCCAGTTGGTCAAATTGTTAGGCTGATAGATCATTGACCTTCTTAGTTGGAATTCATCAGCAATGATGTATGAACAACTTAAGTTGATTTATTTCTTTTAACTCTTTATCAGCTAGGGATCACAAAGCAAGTTTATCCATACATACACTCAGTAGTGATTACGGGTTGTGCGCACTGACTTAGCTAACTAGTTCAATATGCAATATTTGAGTAAGAGACTAAGGTTCAAAACTATAGTAATTTATATCCTCCCAATTTCTAGATACATTGTGGGGCCAGAATTATTGAAGATTCAACCTTTTGGAGGAAATAGTAACTACTGACTACGAGCTAGTTTCCTAATAACTAAAAAGAAAGGGAAAATGTTAATCATGTTTAACATCATTGCTGATATCATTATGCGTTTGACGGCTTATCTAATAATAAAAATTGAAGGATTTTAAAAAGGTTTTAATTTTTAATGGCTGTGTGCCATTACGCCCAAGGCCCAAGGATATACAGCAGCTCTGTTAACAAAAAAAAAAAAAACATCTCATTATGGGTAGATGATGAGATTAAGATTAGTTTAGAAACCATGGGAAAAGATGAAACAACATAAACAAATCAAGGTCCTATAAATGTATGTTCTTATATGACTATTTAACTCCAACTATAGCGATGGCCTATTATTGCTGCTTTATTCAATCCATCACATAATCCGATGGGAAAGGCCAAAGAATAAGTATTTTTTTTTAAAAAAATATTGTATTGGTAAAGAAATTAAATAGTTTAGATGCATGAGGGGATACTATTCTAATTTAAAGTCATAATCAAATCTGATTTCATATAGAAGCCGCTAGCCCGCTAGACAATTTATGTCGAAATTTACAAATTGTGTACAATGAAAATCGAATTTAAACAATTATTAACTAAATAAACAATTTAAGAACAATTGGTCCTTCGCGAGACCAATATTAGGTTCCAGTATTGCTTTATTTTAATATTTTTAATATATAATAGATACATAACCAATCAATGATAATATGATATTCTATAATTATATTAATTTTGATTAATTTAGAACTTAATGGTTGCTGGAGCTTATAACAATATAATTCTGCTGCCGTATCCTCCACTACTTGTTTGAGATTCTCCAAGGTCAAACTGCCTACTTAGCTTATATAAGTACAAAACTATGATCTCTTGTTTACTTGGTAACCACAAAATTAAAGATTCAATTTTTCGCAGAAGTAATTTATTGACCTTCTTTATTTGAGCGGTCAACTATAGACAATTGGAGCTTGTTTACCTCCTTGTAGTCCTTTGTCGACTAAAATCACAAAGTGAGATTTATTCAGTACACACATTTAAATGACAATTATGCATTTCCTTCGTGACGGAAACAAAAACAAAATAACAAAAAATGTAGTCAGGCCAAAAGGGCTACCTTTCGGCAACTTGCGATTAACATAGTAATCATTTCATTAAAAAAACATTAGTATCCGTGTAAGCAAGCGAGAAGGTCAAGTTGCAGGAAACCCCAAAAAATAGTGGAAAGTTGGAGATGAAAGCTAGCTAGCATGCATGAAGGGAGATTTGATAAGCTAAGGTAGGCATAAGTGAGGCACATGTTAGACCGCATCTCCGTCTGCAAATCGCACGTTGTTGTCCGAGGATTTGCAGGAGGAGGACGAGCACTACAACCCTGGGAAAGTTAACAACATATAAGAGGGGGCCGGACACCATAGTTATTAGTTGGATTTCACATAGTGGCCACTTTTTAAAGTATCAACTTTTTTAACATTTCACTGATTCTCACGTCCCAGAATATTCTGGTATCAAATTGAAAAATATATTTAATCATCCTAGTTAACACTGATAATAAAACTCCACATTTATATATCCATTATATTGGTAATTAAATATCTACAAATTAAACATATTGTCACTACTTACAGAATTAAAGATGTGTTTTAGGTAAAATCCACCTTGTGACTCAAGCTGGCAAATGATAGCAAAGAGATAAATCAATCTAAGTTGTTCATAATTGACCAGCTCAAGTTGTATTTACCTCTTTGTGGTAATAATAATGTTACAAGTTAGATTCCCAACGATAATAGAATATCGATCTTCTTGTTTTGAACCAGTTAACTATATGTTAGTTTACCTCGTTGTGGTCCTTTACCAAATAAGATCACAAGACAATTTACCTCATTCATACTTTTCAAGTAGTGATTACAGGTTTTACTTGTCATTCAAAAAAATTAAGTAGTTTAAGTGCCAATCAAGAGATGGACAGAATGAGTTAAAAGTGATAATGTATGTTAAGGCAATTGGGCAGAATAATGAGGTTATAATAATGATAAATGCACATTCTCTTGCATTGGTAATGAGAGTGACATAGCATTATATATATTAATTTTGTAATCTCCATTTCCAATTGCAATAATCTAGATTACGGACCACTTACTAGGGACCATTACCCAGTTTTTGCCTAATCTAATATTTATCCACCGACTCTAAACATTTAGTAATAAGTACCAATCCTTTTCAATTAGCCGTGATTAAGAGTCCCCATCCAGTTTAAATGCATGGCTGCTAATATTCATTTAACCACTTAGTTAAGAGTTCCATCATAATGATATGATGGAACTGGAAAGAGACTTCTTTATCACTTTTTAATAGATTTGAATGAATCAGAATTAGCGTTGATGGTATCCTAATTGTAACATAACTTGAAGAAAGGTTGTGATGGCCATTGACTTGGTCTGCTATGGTTGGTAATGCATGAATTATTACATTTTTTTTTTTGTTAAGTGTACATCATATGAAGAACGTACTAAAGAGTATCAAGTATTTAAAAACTTCTCTTTTTCATTGATAATACTAACCTGCCAAACGGATAATTTTGAACTTAATTACTTTTCTACAGATTTAAGAAATTTAAATGAAGTTTTT